ATATTTTTTTTTTTCCCTTTAAAGCAAATTGGGGGCCGGAAAAAAAAAAAAAGGCCCGGCTTATGTGTTCCAATTTTAAAAAAAGTGAAACCATTTTAAGAGATAATTAGTAATTAACAACCTATCTACTTTCATGGACATCTGAGAAAAACCACAATTAAGAAATAGTGCATGAATTGGATAAAATAAAATAAAAACCCCTACTACCAAAATTAGTTTTTTTTTTTAAGTATTTGAGTGGTGAATTGATGATGTAGACAAACACTACAAAACTACAAGGATATTACATAAGTTTAGATTTTATTACTTTAGAGCACTTCACATATTTTGAATGTAATAAAATATCAAAACAAAATTGATCACTGACAATGTAAAAAAAAAAAAAAATACAAAAAAAAAAATCTGACACGTGCAATTCACGTGCACCTTTCTAGTTGAATGATAAAAAGATGAATCCTTAGTATTTTATGCAAACTAATTATTGTTAATTGTAGTTATTTTTATTTTATTCTTGTCAAAGCATTATTTTTTGGGTTAATGAGGCATAACCCCTCACTAGCAAAAATATTAGAACTAGGTACCAAGCATTTTTTTAATATGGTGCAACCCCCTCCACTTTATGTATCCCAATACTATCCCTACATTTTTCTTTTGAACTAGACCCCCCTTCATTTAAATAGGATCGGTCAACTAACTTGTGCTCTCTCTCTCTCTCTCTAATTATTTTAATCATTTTAATTATATTTCGATCATTTTTTTACTTTTACCTTTTTTTTTTGTTTGGAAAGATATATGAAATATTAGTGAACAACTAAATTAATGAATTTAACTACTGACTTTAGTAGTCAACTATAATATTCTACTGGTTTGCTATAAAATTGTGTCGGTCAACTACAAAATAGTGAAAGTTAACTATGAAATTTTAATAGTTAGCTATAAATTGTGATAGTTAACTACTAAATTATAGTAGTCAATAATCATTTATATACCATAATTTTAAGACCAAAACTCACCACCCTCAAATTATTCAACCATCGATAAGTAATTCCAACACTTTCACAATTACGCCCAAAGTCCCAAATAACGATCTCAAGTTTGCTATAAAATTGTGTTAGTCAACTATAAAATAGTGAAAGTTAACTATGAAATTTTAATAGTTAGCTATAAATTGTGATAGTTAACTACTAATTTATAGTAGTCAATGATCATTTATGTACCATAATTTTATGACCAAAATTCACCACCGTTAAATTATTTATCCGTCGGTAAGTAATTCCAACACTTTCACAATTACGCCCAAAGTCTCAAATGATCTCAATAGTCTGAAGCATATGGATACCTTCCGTGTAAATTCAATTTCCCTAAAAAAGGAATTTCCACAATACAACTATCACTAGCCGTAAGTTTCCTTGAAGAATTAGATCTGAACCAATGAAATGAGCATGAGGCTCCGAGACAATAATGCAAGACTGTAACGGCGGAGATTTTTGAGTTAGAAAATCAGCGATGGAGGGTACATTAAGAAAGAGCGGCGGCGGATGCTGCTTCGTCAGAAAACAGATCTGAACGTTTCATTGTTACTAGACCGGGTGAACCAATGGTAGCCATGAAGATGCGGCGGCTATGGATCCGTTAATTTTGGTAAAGAAAAGAGAAATAGAAAGAGACGTATCATGGAAGAGAGAGAGAGGAGAGAGAAAGTGAATGTATAAAGGAAGAGAGAGAGGGGGGGGGGAGAGAAAGTCCATGAGAGAAAAGATGAATTAAAAATATACGTAAAATATATAAAAAGAGGGGGAGGAGAGAGAAAGAAATTGACAGTTGAGAAGAGAGAGTGGAAGAGAGAGAAAGAGTTGAGAAGAAATGACAAAATTGGAATAATAAACACGTGAGGGGGTCTCACAATTCATAATGTTAATTTTAGATTTCTTTACAAATGGAGAATATTAAAATGGGTCTCGACTCTATTATGTTGTGTATTGAGGGGGTTATCCCTCATTTTCCCCTATTTTTTTTAAATGAAGGAACCCACAACCAACCATATAGATGCATTGGATAAATCTACACTCTCGTATAATAGATTGCAAACCATTCGAGGGACATAAACCACATTATGCTAACCATGTGCGACAAGTTCCACCTAACAACTAAAAAAGTAAAAAAATAAATTGTGACTGGCGTCTTGGACTATGTTTTCTCGTTGTCTTGAATTTTTTATTATTTTATTTTTGGTTTTTTTTTTATTTATTTTTTTTAATAATTATTTAAACTGGGAGTGGTGACCTTTTAGTAATTTTCAGACTTAGATCAAACGATGTTAAGGTCAAAATTTTGAAAACTAACCGCAAGGGCCACATTGAGACAAGTTTTCAAGTACATGGTCAAATCGATGTAATTGAGAGTAGAATGAGGTAAAGTGATACCGAACCAAAGTACAAGAGGGCAAATCGATGTAATTGAGAGTAGAAAGATGTAAAGTGATTTTGGGCCAAAGTGCAATGGTGGAAGTTGAATTTACCCTTTTTTTTATTTGTTTTTTGGAAATAGAAATGTGGGGTGTATTTTGGGAATCAACTATTAAATACTAATTAGGTGAGCATAAAGACGATGAAAAAATTTCTTTAAGAAAAAAGTAGTGGACAAAATTCAAATAATTGGGGCCAACTTTCTTGGTTCCCATAATAAAAAATTGGAGTTAATTGCATATACCACCTCTGTATTATCTCTAATTGTCAAATACTCTCTTGTCAAAAAAAATTCACCAAAACTCCCTTGTGTTAACAAAGTCAGGGCATCGAGACCCCTGGAGGCAAATCGTGTCACTCACTCGCGGGTTGTGCGATTTTTTATGTTATTTATAAAGTGAAATGTCATAATTACCCATTTGATAAACTAAAAAAATCTGATTGGTTAATTACGAATAGCCTACATTTTGAGGACCAAATTGTAATTTCTAAAAGGGGTTTACTATTCATAGTGCAATTTTTTCCAGCTACAATGCGAAATAATTCATTTGTCAAAAAACACTTTAACATTTTACAAAATCCTTTCAACCTCCAAATATTTCGACTTTTGTAGATCGTGATTTGTTTTCGTAGAAATCAGTTAAAACCCAACGATTATCAAGATGGCCAACATCGATCCCGTAAATGAGGTAAAAAATTACGTTTTAGTGTGTTTTTTTTTCGATTTTCAGTCGTTTCGTGTAGAATATCACGAAATTATTCACGTCGTTTCGTGGTGTTTTGCACGAAATTAACACCATATTCGTGGTTTTCAGTAGTTTCGTATAAAATACTACGAAATTGTAGCTATTATTTCGTGTAAAAGCACAGGAAACAACAGTAAACTATTTTGTTATTCATTTTGTGCATTATTACACGAAATGTATACATTAATTTCGTGTACTTTTACACGAAATCCCTAGTTCTTATTATTATTATTATTATTATTTTTTTTTTTTTGTGTGCAAGTATCTAACTTTTTTTTTATTTACACAGCCATATGAAGACAATTTGTATTTTGATCCCTCAGTTTTGGATCAAAATGAATATGAAGATTTCTATCACTTCTTCCAAGTTGATATTGTGTTCGATAGTAGGGAAGAATTAATCAACTGGGCCAAAGCAACTGCAGTTAGTCATTGTCACCGTTTGATTTGTCAGTCTAGAAGGGAGAATGCACAGTACTTGACGTGTGACAAATACGGACATGGCCGACAAAAGAATATCGATGTGGAAGATCCTAGAAACACTGGAACAAAAAAATGTGGTTGTCCATTCAAATTGATTGGCAAAAAGTCAAGGTTTGATGAATTATGGCAGTTGACTGTCAACGATGGCAGGCATACTCATCGTCCGGCTTTGTTTCCTCACGGACAAGGTATGACTAGTCGTATAACTCCACAACAGAAAGCAAGAATTAAATAATTGCGAAATTCTCACGTGAAGCCAATGCTAATCATGGATAGATTGAGGAAAGATGATCCGACAATACATACCTCTATGAAGCATGTTTACAATGAGTTGACCAAGATTAAATCTGAGGAAATGGAGGGCATGAGTGTTATTCAGTTTATGATGCATAACTTTCAACAAGGCGAGTATCGATATTGGCATCGCGTCGATAGTGAAACGAGCAACACGATTACAGATATTATGTTTGCATGTCCCGAATCTATTAAGTTACTACGGCTGTTCTCGTATGTTATATTGATGGACTGCCCATACAAAACCAATAAGTAAGTAAAAATTACGATTGTTTAAATTATCATTATTGTGTTTTAATGTATTGTATTGTTTAAATATGTAACAACAACATTGTTGTAGGTATGGAATGCCTCTTTTGGAAATTATTGGGATAACTTCAGTTGGGAGGAATTTTACAATTGTTGTTACATTTATGTCGCATGAAGATGCAGACACCTACGAGTGGACTTTGAATTGTTTGAAAGAGTTGCTAGATGGTGTTGAACCTGATGCGATCTTGACATACAAGGAGTTGGGGTCTTTTTAAAGCACTGTCAAATGTCTTCCCATTTTCGTATCATATGTTGTGTATATTCCATATAAACAGAAATGTTGAGGCAAATGCGACGAAATTTATCGGAGGCAACAAAGACCAAGGTCTAATATTCCGACGTGGGCTGTGGGCTAAGCTGGTGAAATCAGAAACCGAAGAAGAGTATCATTACAATTACAATGAAATTGTTGGACGGTATGCAGGATATCCTAGACTGATACAATATTTGAATGATACGTGGTTGATATACAAGGAGAAGTTTGTTCGAGCATATACTCGCAATGTGTATCATTTTGGCAACACGAGCATCAACATGTATTACATGTTTTAGTTATTTAAATGATAAAATATATTATATAAAAATAATATTTATTTTGTAATTTGATTGTCGTTGTATGCTTTGATTGTTGTTGTAATTGGATAGGGTGGAGAATGCTCATTCTTCTGCGAATGGTTGGTTAAATGCTTCGACCGGAGGTCTGGATAACGTGCAAGGCGAACTTCGGGACCAAGTTAATATCCAAATTAGTCAGCTGAAGTGCAATTTTTCACTATCATCATAAGGAAGCATACTGCAGCATGGCCGTGTTTTCAGGGTTTGATTTGTTATGTTACGCATCTGGCATTAGAGAAATTGGATCAAGAGATGGAGTCCCCTACAATGCAAGATCCGAGTATTTGCACACACTATCTTTGGAATACTCATGGGCTCCCATGCGCATGCAAAATTGTGCAGAAAATGGAAAATAATGACACGTTCGTCATTTCAGACTTGCATCCATTTTGGAGTACCGTGGCAGTTGAGCCTTCAGAGCTACCTGAGTATCAAGTAAACCGCGAGGAGATTGTGGATAGATAGATTGATGACCTAAATTGCAATTTGAAAAAGATGAATTGCACGAGTAAGATAAATGACGTGGCCTCATTGCGTGGCATCGTTTATCCGTCTACGTCGCATCTGTCCGAGCCATCATTTGTTAAGACCAAAGGACGACCAAAGAATAACTCGACAAAGAGAGACCCTTCCGGATGGCAGTATCGTATTGATGAGGAGACAATTAAGTCGTCTTGTGGTTCCAAGGGTCGCCAAACCTAATCTGGTGCAAAGATTCCTAAAGCAAAGGTTGAGAGAAGCACCGATGGAACGCCTCAATCGAAGATGAAAGGTCGTGGTTCTCGTATTCTCACACAAGAATCTGCTGCCCCTACAATACCTGCACATGAAATAATCGACTTTTATTTTTTCGTGCCCAGATTTATAGTCCGTTTTATTCAAGATTATATTAACGTGATGGCGGATGGCAGCTGTGGGTACCGGTGCGTTGCTCAAGCCGTGTACGGGGATCAAGAAAGATGGCCGCAAGTGGGAGGGGAGTTGCTTATTGAGTTATACGAGCATGCTAATGTGTACACGGCGATGTTTGGCAGTATCGGATACGTTGAGGTCATACGCAAGTGTGACTGGACCTCAAGGCCTTGTCCACAAGCTTATCGGATGGACATGAATGAAATGAGCTTGGCCATTGCTACCAGATACAGTGCATTAGTGGTACTTTTGACTCAAGTAGGGAGTATGACTTACATTCCAATGTTTGGCAGTGGTTACTTATCATGTATGATTGTTGTGACATTGCACAACAATCATTTCATGTTTGTTAATTTGGTCGCAAATAGTCCTCTACCACCAATCCATCCGGCATGGGTACACCATAAAGCTAAAAACCTGAGGCACTTACTCAAAATGTACAAACCCCGACTACTCTTGTACGAACAATTAAAGTCTGGTCGGTAGTTCAATTTGTAGTTGTATTTGAATTCTTGTTCAATTTATATTTGTATTTGAATTTTAGATCAATTTGTAGTTGTATATGAAATCTAGTTGAATTTGTATTTGTATTTGAAATTTAGATCAATTTGTAGTTGTATTTGAATTCTAGTTCAATTTGTATTTACATTTGAATTTTTTGGTCAATTTTTTAATTTTAAGTCAATTTGAGTGTCTGAAATATATTGGTTAAATTAAAAAACAATATATTAGTGATTTCGTACTGAATTTCACGAAATTGTACATTATATTTCGTGGAAAAATCTACGAATTGTAAGGTATAATTTCGTGGAAAAATCCACGAAATGTACCATTTCGTGGGTTTTGTCACGAAATAGGTGAATTTTTTCAATCCAACAGTTTCGTCTGTTAGAGTATATTATATTATTAGATATTATAGGATATTAGGATCCTGTTATGATTCGGTTACCTAGATTAGTTAGGATTTAGTTATCTAGTGAAACTCTATTACTTCGTATTATTTCTCTATATATATTACATGTAAATCAACCCATAACACAATGGGGGTTTCTATTACGTGTTATTATTTTTCTTCTTCTCCAATTCCATTCTTCCTATATGGTATCAGAGCACCAGGTTTTTTAACCTAGCCGCCGCCTTTCTTCTCTATGGAGGTGACCACCCAATTTTCTCCCTCCCCCGGTGGTGGTACTCTTAATATCTTTCTTTTTCTATCTTTTCCATGAACACCACCCGAATTTTCTCCCTCCCCGGTTGTTCTCTATCTTTTCCGTTCTTCTTCTTCTTCTTCTTCTTCTTCTCCATGGCCTGAAATCTAGCCGCTGCCTCTCTTCTTCTCCATGGTCGGCGACCACCAATCCAACGATCTCCCTCGGTGGTGGTAACTTATATTATTTTTCGACATCTTCTTCTTCCTAGTCGATTATTCTCAAATCTTTTTTTTTCTCTATCCTTCTTTTAATTATTCTTCTTCCCCTTCTCATATATTTTCTCAATCTCTCTCAATTCATACACAAAAAAAAAATTGTTTATTTTTCTCTCTCCCGTTATTATTATTATTATTATTATTATTTTTTTTCCTATCAATTGGGCAGATATTTTCACAGAGGAATTCTCTAGCGTTGTGTTTCGCGGTTTATGTCCTGTCTTCACTTTTGGAGTTTATTCGTTCCGACTGCAGGAGCGTGTTAGCAAGTGATTGTCCAATCTTCACGTTCGTCACGTTTCGACTGCGGTGGCGTATTAGAGTATATTATATTATTAGATATTATAGGATATTACGATCCTATTATGATTTTGTTACCTAGATTAGTTAGGATTTAGTTATCTAGTGAAACTCTATTACTTCGTATTATTTCTCTATATATATTCCATGTAAATCAACCCATAACACAATGGAGGTTTCTATTACGTGTTATTATTTCTCTTCTTCTCCAATTCTATTCTTCATATATCGTCCTTCGTTTTCTATAACAATAAACACTTATATTTCGTGATATAATACATGAAATAGCGGGCGATTTTTTTATTTTTTTGAAAGTTACAAATGAAATAAATCGCATTGCAAGGCGGTAAAAGTTGCACTATGAATAGCATTTCAGTTTCTAAAATTACAAAATAATTAAAAAAAAGAAAAGAAAAGAAGAGTCGTCTTCTTCCTCCTCGTTCCGGTCCGCCGGCCACCGCCGCCGTCTCGCACCACAGCCACCCACTCCTTCAAATTTCTCTTCCTCGACAACGCCGCCGGAACCACCGATTTTTAGCGATATAAAGAGTTGTGTATGGGTGAAGATGGTTAAAAAAATAATTCTCCTACTCGCCGCCGCCGTCGGAGGACTTCGCGAATTTGAAAAGATTTTGATTATTCGTGGGTTGCGGATTTGGAAGAAAGGTGGTGGTGTAGGAAGGGTAAGCTGGTGGTGGGGCAGCGGTAGATAGACACGGCCACGGGCCGGTTCATACCGGTTCACGGTCCAATTTTTCCGGAACCGGAATCGGCCCGTAATATGCACAGTTCGGCGGGCCAGGTCGGCCCGCCGGTTCAATTCGGTTCCGGGCCTATCCGGGCCGTCGACCCGAAAATTTTGATTTATATATATATTTAAAAAAAAAATACTTAATGGATAAATAAATTAAAATAATTACTTTTAAATAGGAAAAACAAAAGGAAATAAATAAAATGACTTTAACTTAATTTTATAGGAAAAAATGGGGTGTAAGGGTATTTTTATAAGAAAAAATGGTGGGGAAAAAAATCAAAAAATAGCAAATAACGGCCGGTTCACCGGCCGTTTTTTGCTTTTTTTTTTTTGTTTTTTTTTTTATTTTTTTTTTAAATTTGGGTGAACCGGCGGTTCACGGTTCACAAATTCATAGAACCGGGCCCGTCCCGGGGACGACGGGCCGGTTCACCGGTTAACGGGTTGGGCCGGTTCGTCAACGGGCCCAAAACCGGCCTGTGGCCGTGTCTAGCAGTAGAGCGACGGGCTCGAGAAATGTCGATGATGTGTCTAGCTAGGTGGGGGTGGGGGGAGGAAGAAGAAGACTTTTTTTTTTTTTTTTGTCTATATGTAATTTAAATGTAAAAGAATTAAAATTAAAAACATATAAAAACTTTTAATATCACAAACTAAAAAAAAATGGTTATAAAATTAAAATTAATTATGTTATAAAATTTGGTAAAATTAAATGAATTACAAAGTTTTAAAAAATTAATACATAAAATATTTATAAATTAAATATACTTTACTAATTGCTGAAAAAAACCCTAGGGTATTTTTGTAATTTTACTCGCAGTCAACTCCTCAAAAGCACAGTAGGTGCAGTGAACTTCGAATTTGTTAACACAGGGGTTTTAGTGAATTATTTTTTGGCAGGGGGTGTTTCATAATTAGAGATAAAATTGGGGTGGTATTTGCAATTAACTTTTAAAAATTGTGGAGTTTTCAGTCGTTGAGCATATCATCTTCTTCAGCTAAAATCAAAATATATCTTGCTGCAAAAAGTGATCATAAAATCAGTCAAATACAAAAATTCAATCAACAAATCTTTACAGTTTAGATCGAAAATATGGCAGCTTATGCAGCTGTTGTTTCTCTGATGAATAATATCGATAACATCCAAAATCATCCTCGTTTTTCGATTTCCCTCGACAAGAAACAGACAGAATCTCTTGGCGAGAAGCTTGATTTCTTGCTAGATTTCATAGAGATGAATCATTCTCATGAATTCTTGGAGACCGAAATTGCATCCGCAGCCTATGCAGCCGAAGATGTAATCGAATCTCATATAGTCGACCAAATCCACTCCGGTTCGATTTCTTCGCTCGATCTCCAGACGGTAATACTAGACATGGATTCCGTCAAGGAAAAAGTTGTCATTTTTAAGGAGGAAAAAGAAGGATTGCTCAAAGTTCACCGACAGTATTCAACTTCTACTACTTCGTCAACACCTTCGATTACCGGTGGCGGGAAGAGCACAACAACAATGGTGGGGCTTGATGAGGAGTTGATTCAACTTTTGGATGCCCTCACCGGACGACAATCGAGTCTGCAAATCATCCCAATTGTAGGTATGGGCGGCATTGGTAAGACTACTCTTGCTAGAAATGCTTACGAACATGGATTAATTGTGAATCGCTTTGATATTCGTGCTTGGGCTACAATATCTCAAGAGTATAGTGTGAAGGAAATCTTTTCGGAACTTCTTTCTCGCGAAAGTAGTGAATCCGCTAATGAACAACAATTATCTCAAGAGTTGTATCAAAGTTTAATAGGTAGGAGATATTTGATTATATTGGACGATATATGGAGTATCGATGCTTGGGAAAAGATGATGTTTTTCTTTCCAGATAACAACAATGGAAGTCGAATTATCATAACCACTAGGCTGTCAAATGTTGCTGTTCAATTTGGCTCTTCGTCTTACTTTTCAAAGAAATTTCTAGATGAAAATCAAAGTTGGAAGCTATTTTGTGAAAAGGCCTTTTCACAGGAAGAAGTTTGCCCTCCTGAATTTGAGGAAATTGGAAAGAAGATTGCTGAAAAATGTCAAGGACTTCCTTTGTTAATTGTTGTGATTGGAGCACTTCTTAGAAAGTCATGTAGAACACGGGAATATTGGGAGAATATTTCAAATGATATAAATTCAATTTTGGATTCAGGAGAAGACGGTGATCAAAACTTGGATATATTATCTTTGAGTTATATGCACTTACCTGCCCATCTAAAACCATGTTTTCTTTACTTGGCAATTGTACCAGAAGACCATTTGATTCATGCTTCTGAACTCATCAGACTTTGGGTTGCTGAGGGATTTATTAAACCAAATAAAACACAAAGCTTGAAAGAAGTTGCAAAGTGTTACGTAAATGATCTCATTGATAGGAATCTCATTTTAGGTAGTTGGTTTGATGGAAGAGTTAAATATAGCACTATGCATGATCTTGTAAGAGATTTATGCATAAAGAAAGCTCAAAAAGAGAAGTTTATTTGTATGATGAGATTTCGTGACATTCCACTAGGTGTGAAGATGGAATGTCGGATTGCATTTCAAGAAAAAATTCCAAAGGAGAATTATGACCATGAATTATTTTTTCATGAATTGGAGTCGGCATCACTTGCACGTTCTTTGATAGGCAAAAGAGGGGGTGAGTTGTCGCTTGAGTTCAAATTGTTGAGAGTATCACATATGATTGGTTTTTCTCTAGAAAATATTTTCAAGCACGTTAACTTGCGCTACATTTTCAAACCCGACGACTGGAGAACAACGACTATTTCTTACAAGCTTCCTTCATCAATATCCCTACTATGGAATTTACAAGTGTTGGTTTTTCCATTTATTGATCTTGTTGCACCACCTGAGATTTGGGAGATGGCACAACTTTGGTATGTGAAGTCCATCTCCATCTATCTCCCTGAACCTCATTCGTCGTGTGATCAACAAGACGAAGACGAATTCATTGTTTTGAGAAACCTGCAGACACTTAAGAAAGTAGTCAATTTGAGGTTGAGTGAAGAGGTATGTAAGAGAATACCCAACATTAAAATTTTGCACATGGAATATCACCCACAAAGTTCGTTGAGGGAATGTGAGGGCAACTTATCATATGACTACAGCCTCTATAATATTGGACGCTTGCATAAACTTGAATCATTGAAATGTCATTTATACGACGTAGGAGCTGATGACACCCAACAAGGTGGTTTGCTGAAGAAGATGACATTCCCTACGTCGCTCCGAAAGTTGGAATTATCAAATTGCGATCTTGGTCCGGAAGATTTGAGAACAATTGGTTCGTTGCCAAATCTTGTACATTTCAAGTTGCAGGGGGAGATCATAGGAAATGAGTGGGACCCGGTTGAGGGGGAATTCATTTGTCTGAAATTCCTGGAAATTCATTTTTGTCATGATTTGATTTATTGGAATGCAGACAGCTCCCATTTTCCAGTTCTGGAGAAACTTGTTCTTCTAGGATTGTCCAAATTGGATGAGATTCCTTTAGGTATCGGAGAAATACCGACACTTGGCATCATCGTACTGGATGACTGCAGCGAATCTGCGAACATTTCTGCAATGAAAATACTGGAGGAACAAGAGTATCTCGGAAACGACGACCTTCGAGTTGAAATCATGTTTTGGAAGAAAGAGGATTTAGAAAGGTTCAAGGAAAAGGCGAAACAGTTTCAGTGCTTCACGAGCAATAATTTAGGATTCTTCTCGTGACATATATACAGGGCCACGTTTGTCTCATTTTTAGTATTTGCAATAATTCTGTAGATTGCATTTCACTTTTCTTTCGTCATATTCGACAATATTTAATCCCGTGTTTCATATCTTAAATACACGTCACAGGGGAAAATTTAATTCAAAGTTCAAACAGGAATATCTCAAATTTGTTCAACTTCTTTCAGTTTCGTGCAAAAATTCTAACAAGAACATTCAATTCAAATATTTCCGTTGATAAACAAACGCATCAGCATATTAATACCAATATGCCTCCACTCGCTAAACGCGCAAACTAACGAAGATAATTAGGAAATTATAGGGAATTGATCATCCTCTTCATCTCAGCTGACCTCCTTGGATCTTGCTCTTCAATTGCTCTCTCGGTAAGCACGTGCTTGATTCGGCACATCGATTTGCGTACCTGTTCAATCGTGTCGTAATCAATTAGGACTAAGCACATGATTAGGGCGACCAAGTGTGGATCAAGTGGAGAAAAAATATTGAATTTACCAAAAAACAAGAAAAAAGGAAATTCAAAATATTTTACGATATTGCAGAACCATTACAACATCGACACTACAGTTTAATATGTGTTTCCGTATTTCCTACAAATCGACGTGTAAGCAATTAACATGTTGGATGACGGCTTATTATTATACGTGATTGAAAAAATTAAAATTATATCGAATGTCACATGCAGATACTTTGAAAAGTAATATAGCATATCTAATGATCTAAAATCAACTGTCTTTTATATGAATTAGCTACACACGAAGAATTAATTTGATAATATTCGGCATTTACAAATTTTATGGCTGCTGATATATAAGCCACATACACTAGCTAATGAGACCAACTGCAGGACTTCGAATTCACTAATCACAGGCAACTGTAATACTACTAAGAAACGAGCCATCATATTACACGCCTAAACATGGTCCCTTTATGAATTACCGAACCAAAACATTGAAAATTCAAGTTAATTTCGACAATGAGACACTCAAATGCGTAATTCACCATTGATACTGCAGATTTTGTTTAAACTATCTTTCGACTCATCAGTTGGTGCGAGGAGGGAATCTTCTAGTCAAAACAAAGAAACACGAGAATGAATTTTTTTTTTAGATAATTTTATTTATCTTAATTTTGAGCATCCAGCTAATGATCAAGCACGGTCATGGATGGGGATTTCCGGGATTATACATGCAAGAGAAAATAAAATATGATGGGTAAATTCGGAATAAAAAAGTTTAGATAACAAATGGTTTAAGGAAACTACACCTTTGGAACACGCTCGGGATTGGGAAAACGAAGGTTTTGAGCATGAAGCATCTGGCGCTGAGTCATCAACATGTTCTTTTCTTTAAGAAGAACATACCACAGCTTCTGAAGGTCATCCCATGACTTCAGACGCAGTTCCGAAGCCTTCCAACTCCGACCTAGTTAAATAAATAAATAATATATATCAATTTATTCCATTTACAAATATATTTCTTTAAAGAAGAATGAAATAACCCTCGAAACAAGCATTAGACAAGGAGGTGTCGAGATTTCTGCAGTTTGACCGAGTCTATCGAATCTTTACACAGATTATAGACACAGAACATACTTATTTGCAAGAATGAGAGTGTGACCAATTATATAAAATCGAACACTATTTTGCCGTGCCAAGCATATAAACCTACATGTACACGGAAATTCAATTGTGACATTGAAAGAACAACGTGAACAAAGAACCGGCGTGAAATCATATTTATTAATCTTATCAAATTGAACATCAAAAAATATTTGGGGAAAAACTTCTCACTTCTTCCGACGTGATTTGACTGCTACAGTAACAAATATTTACACTAAAACATAAACGAAAAAGACTTCTTCTAAAAGACATTTCATCAAACACTTGGTAGACATACTTCAATTGCAATGTAAATCGTCTCTTCTCAAAATCGGGAAAGAAATTAAATCAAATTTTACCATAGACAGCAGGCTTCTCATCTTCAGGGTTTCGATCGACCTCGAAGAACTCCTCGAGCGGGTTATGCCTAACTGTAGTCGAAGCAGCAGCTCCGGCAGCTGAAGCCTCTGATTTCGCAGCCGTAAACAGTGCCCTCCCAAATATCCTCGTCAAAAACATTGCTATTCGCAAAACCTAACAGCTTTCTGCAAACAAAACAATAACATAAATAAATCAAAGAACTGTAAATGACCTAATTCGCAGAAAAACCCCCAATAACACATTTCATGAAATTAAAAATAATTAAAAACAAAATTCACCTCCCTTGATCAAATATACGAGCTGGGTAAAATTGTTCTTGATCAAAAAATTGAAGAGATTCAGTGTTTTAAAAGATCGAGAAAATAAAATAGAAAGCTTTATTTGTTTTAGAAAACCCCAGTAAAACCCCTCGGTCATATTCTCATTCGGTTTAGGTGTTTGTATCTAAGCACAAAATCATATGTTAAACCCTAAATTTACCATAGATAATAAATTTAGGGTTTATAGCAATAAGAGTTGAGATAGTGCATACCAGTAGAAAGAAGGCTGAGTTACAGTGTGGCGCCGCGCCGGAGAGAGAGTGAGTGAGAGAGAGAAGGTGTTCGGAACTAACAGCAGGTATGAAATTGCTTATATTTTTGGGCTTCAGAAAAAAAAAATTAATAATAATAATAATAATAATAATAATAATAATAATAATAATAATAATAGTTTATATTTCAAAAAATTAAAATGCATTACCAACCCTCATTAAGAGAGTTTGTACCTGCATTTACCAATAGGGTAATGGTCTAGGGTTCGAGTCCTTCCTCCCCTACTTCCCCTTGTAATATGAAATACTGAAATGATTTGTGCAGGCACAAATTAAACATTCAGGCACATTTTTTACCATTTCTCAAAAAACAAAAGGTAAAAAACTCAAAAAACTCTCTCTACCCTTTCGATTTTCGTTCGCAAAGCCCGTGCAAATCGTCAACAGATCGGAGGTAAT